AAAAATATAAAAAATTAAGAATATAAAAAAATTAAAGAAAAATATGGCAACTCCCATCGGTATACGAAGAACCCCCAGACATTAAAAAACCCCCTTAAAATTAAAAATTAAAAGTATAAAAAAATTTAAGGAAAAATATGGCAACTGTAGGAGTATACGAGGAGATACGAGACATTAAAAATATACATTTTTGGGTAAAGTTGAATTTCTTAAAGCATAAAATTAAAAGAATTAAAAAAAAGTAAAAGAAAATATTTCAACAGCAGCTTGACTCTCGTGCCGCGTCAAAAGGAGTCGTCGTCAATCAACACTAAAAACAACAACCACAACAAAAGCGCATAAAACAACTGTTGAAATCAAATAAACTTTCCAACAAAGCTAGAGAAGACGAAAAATAGAGAGAGAGAGAAAAATAAAAAATAAATTTTGTTTTTGTACAATGATTTGTTGTTGCAGCCTGCTGCTTGCTGCATGGCATTGTGTTTTGCTGCTTTTTTGTTGATGTTGTTTTTTTGTGTTACCGATTTTACGGTATACAAACGGTCAGCATGCAACAAAAAGGATTTCAATGGAATTTTCACTTTACAAAGTGCGATGCAACGCACAAACAACAAAAACAAAAATTAAAAACGAAAAACAAAAAACAAAAAATAACTAAGTAAAAAGCAGAAAAAAATTTAAATGAGAAATATATTAAAGAAAAGTCGAAAAATGGAAAAGGACAAAACACAAAGCAAAATGCAACGCAAACTCACGCGACGCCAAGCGGGGTGGCAGGGGGCCTGAGGGAGTGGCGTGCCTGCTGGGTGGTCTCGTCTCGTCTCAGTGAAGATGCGATGCCGTCACGTGTGGCAGAGACGAATTTATAACACAAACGATAACAAGTGAAGCAACAACAGTAACAACAGCAACAATAACGTTGGAAATGTAACTCAAACCAAAACTTTGCAGTCGTTCAAATGCTACAAACGGCACAAAAACGTGTAATTTTTATAAAGTTTTGCCTTTTACTTGGACATAGAGATGTATACTATGTATGATTTTAAGTACGTACGTATGTATGTATATTTGCTTCTATGCATGTATATATAGGTAGGTACCGACGACCGACCGACACAAAGTAACTTTTAAGTGAAATGGACAAACGGAAAGACACACATGCATGTATAGCTACACACACGTAGATTCTAACGAGAAACACACACACACAAGCATGCACACGCACTTACAACGAAATAAGTGTGGATATAGGTATGCATACAGCTTGCAAATAGATATTTTCCTAGAAAGCACATGCGAGTAGAGAACTCTCACATATGTATATATAGTTATATGCTGAAATTGAAATGCTTGCATATTAAGGTGGGTCTGCAAGTTTTCTTTTTGTTTACTTTTGAGCTGAGTTAGGCTAACCTATTTGATCGTTCGATAAGTAAACAACAGCTGACTTTATTGAATGTTTTTCCCAGCTTATTTTACACTTAACCGCTTTACCATTATATATCTGAACAGCTGATATAGTAAGGATTGTTGGTAAAAACATTTCTTAAATTCGAAGAATTCTCTATCGAAGATGGGGGAGCGAAAACAGAATTTTCGGAATATTTTACCAGCAAAAGGGTAAAACTGCAGTTGAAGTAAGGCGAAAACTATGTAATGGGGAAGATATGTTGACCAAACGCCAATGCTAAAATTGGTTTGTTAAATTTCGTACCGGCCATTTCGATCTTGAGGATGCACCACGTCGTGGAGAGGCTCGTGAAGCCGATGTGGATAAAATGAAGTTCTTAGCTGATGGAAATCGTTGCATAGCAACTCTAAAGCGCATTAACAATGCCACGAAAATTGGAATTTTTAAGGATGAACCAGCTCAAACCACTTTGCAGGCCGATAGTCCCAAAATAAAAAAAACACGATTAATTCTTTCTGTATTGTCAGAGGCAAAATTTAAATT